TTAGACCAGTGGTTCTCAACCGGGGTCTACATGGACCCCTAGGGGTCCATGTAATATTTCCGGGGGTCCACAGGCAAAACTCAATTGTTGTGTTAATTAAAAATAGTAATAATAATTATTATTATAATTATAGTAGAATATTTTATTTGTATTAAATTAGTTTTCATTTAAAAATAAAGCTTAATCGTATACTATTTCTTTAATAATTAAAACCTTAAAATTTATATTAGTGAAGAATAGAAAATTGTTCTTATGTCCAATAGCTATGAAGGGGTCCACCAAGATAAAAAAGAAGGGGAAAGGGGTCCATGGGTAAAAAAAGGTTGAGATCCACTGGGTTAGACGGATCGACGGAATCCGAAACGTTGTGATAACAACAAAGATGAGAACAATATTCCATATGTAAATAATGATAATTTATTGAAGCAATAAATCACAATAATGAAAATGTACGAGAATGTACGAGAAGTCAGATCAAAAAGTATCCAGACTGTTGCTAGAGTGAAACAGCTTTGAACAAATTAACCTTGAACTTTGTCGCGCATACACACTAAATTATGACGTATCTTCGGTCGTTTCCGTTGCTTATAGCAGTGCTTGGAAGGAAAGTGTGTAGAGTGTGGTCGTCACACCAAACCACAGAGATTCTATCAATGACCATGGCATGTGCAGCAGTTTTGGACAAAGGACAACATTTCCCATGTCCGACATGTCCATATTTCCCAGATCTGCCTTCTTGCAACTTTTTCCTCTTCAAAAATGAGATACAATTTGAAAGAGAAAAATTTCAATACGCCGAGGCAATTCAAGAGAATGCAACGAGGCAGCTGCTCCCTATCTCCAAAAAGAAGTTCCAGGAATGCTTCCATCAATGGAAACGACGCTGGATAAAGGATGTGACTTCGAAAGGGGGCTACTTCGAAGGAGATTAAGTGCCGAATCGATATGTGTTGTAGTTTTCTTTTTACTGCACCAGTCCCGATACTTTTTGATCGGATCTCATATCTATTAATATACTTGTCACGCTTGGTCTAATCAGCTTTCCTCCTTGGTGCGTCGACTGAGTGAATTTAAACGTGCTACTAGATTGGCAATTAGGTCTCACCGTTTTACTCTTTAACTAGCTAGATGCAACTATCAGTTCTATTCCAACTCCCTTCTGATTTCTTCTTTTCCCTGCTACCTTCATAAATTTAAATGCAACGCCAATCGCCATCTTCTGTCTTCCTGAATCCTTTTCTTGTAGCGTCCTTTTCTCACTACTAAAGTCGAGAAGTCCCTGTAACCTCCTAGCGCCCAAGGCTTTATCGCCTTGTTTGGGGTGAAATGATTAAAAAAAGTAAAGAAACGGAATTTCAGAAGAGCCATGTTCGCCTACGTCCTGAAGAGCATGGCACAAAAAAAAGATTATGATAAGAAAAAATACTAAAAATAAAAAGGAACCACTAAATTGCTAATAAACAATGAATTACCCATTAAACGCAATGACGAATGTTGAAAATGATTACTGCTATTTTCTTGTCGTTTTTTTTTTTTTTTTTTGTCGGAAAGATGTAAAGTAAGCGTATTTTTTTTCGTCAGAGGGATATAAAATAAGCGTACTTTTTTGTCAGGAGAATATAAAGTAAGGATACTTTTTTGCCGGAAGGATCTAAAGTAAGCTACTTTTTGCTGGAAGGATCTAAAGTAAGGATACTTTTTTCCGGAAGGATTTAAAGTAAGCTTACAAATGGATACAAAATAAGCGTACTTTTTTTTCTTCTCGGAAGGATAAAGTGAGAGTATTTTTTGTCAGATGGAGACAAAATAAGCGTACTTTTTTTCTCGGAAGGATAAAGTAAGCGTACTTTTTGTGAGATGGATAGAAAGTAAGCGTACTTTTTTCTCGGAAGGATAAAGTGAGCGTACTTTTTGACAGATCGATACAAAATAAGCGTACTTTTTTTTTCTTGGAAGGATAAAGTAAGCTTACTTTTTGTCAGATGGATACAAAATAAGCGTACTTTTTGAACGGAAAGATCTAAAATGATCGTACTTTTTTGAGGGGGAGGATATATTGTAAGAGTAGTTTTTCGTCAGTCACTGTGTCTCACAAACTGTCTGAAGTTGATAGAGAAGTGTTACCATTTGATGCTTCTGCTGACAACAGACACCACTTAGATGGTTTAAAAGATGTTCACCCGTCCGTTAGTTGTCTGGGAATCCAGAACAGAGTCTAACAACGTAACAGATAACATCTAACCACAGGCCCCCACGTTAAATAAACATTGACAGAAGGTGTACGTCAGTGGCCATCATCACTCTTGATAATTCTCAAAGATACTGAGATAGGAAGAAGAAGATTCTTCGCGTGAGGCCAGAGGCATGTGTTAAACTGAACTGAGTGTGGGTGCGGTTGGTCGGGGCAGAAGCCAGGGAGAGCAGGAGGCGGGTAAAGAACCCAGGAGTAGTGTGTCTACAAAACGGACACACGAAAAGCAATTATTACTCATTTGCAATTTCGTCATTTACATACAAACGTGCTTACACACACATATTACAATTACGGTGAGTGTGTATCGATGCGCATATGGCATTTTACCATATGGTAATAGCTAACGAACAACTCTAGTGGACCATAACTACGGTGTGGGGAGTTTGAGGGGGTAGACCCCATTCCTGGTGACTTTGTATCAGACTAAGTTAAGCTTTGTACAGAACTTTCCAGAAACATGTTGTTTTTTTTTACAGTAAGGTTCACCCTGCACACGCCTCGGGAGCCATTCGAGGTAGAGGGTTAGGATTTACGGTAAGAGGTACTTTATATGTATAGGAAGAGAAGATAACGGTCGACTCTAGACTTGAACAGATTGTAGTGATGGGGGGAAACATCTTCTAGGGTGTCTGTTCCATAGGGTAGTTATTCGCGAAGAAGCCGTTCGAGTGGAACTTACTTCTCGCTGATGGAATACGGAGGGAATGTGGGTGGTTTGATATTATGGAAGTGGCATGGCTATCCGTGAAGGTTAGACTTGGTGGGACCTTGTGAGGACGAGTAGGATAGATATCGGTTGAGTACAAATACAAAAAGCAAAGCAGATGGGTACAAAATAATAGTACTTTGTTTTTCTCGGAAGGATAAAGTGAGAGTACTTTTTTGTCAAATGGATACAAAGTAAGCGTACTTTTTTTTTTCTCGGAAGGATAAAGTGAGAGTACTTTTTGTGTTGTGGATTCCGGGGATGGAATCCTGCACAAATAATTAAACAACGCCAGTAATTGAAATAGAAAAATATGTGTATTAAACGTAAAAATACAAACTTGAAATGAAGATTAGTAGTCCAGGAATGCGGGTTAGTAGAAAAGTATATGTACAAGTCTTTGTAAGTGACGCCGAAATTATCTCTCTTTCTGGACTCTTGTATAACTCTGAGTGAACACCCTGTCTCGACTTTTTTGTCACGCTATCTCTCCGTAGTATAAGTATACTTTGGACGAGTCCATCTTGTGTACAAGGGGCGAGCCCCACAATATTTTGTCAGATGGATACAAAATAAGCGTACTTTTTTTTTTCTCGGAAGGATAAAGTGAGAGTACTTTTTGTCAGATGGATACAAAATACTCAAAGTTGGCTTGAAGAGACCAAGATAGTAGTTACCAGGGAAGCATCCTCTTGGGAGTCTGTTCCACATAGTAACAGTTCTGAGAAAGAAGCTGTCTGAGTGAAACTTGTTTTTTTATCAAAGGTACACGAAGGGAATGGAGATGGGCTTGCCTCTGTGAACAATGCATGACGGGTAACCTGGCCTACCCAACAACCCATTTCTTTTCCGAATGCCACGTTCCTTTCAAGGAGTAGGCGATATTGACGCTACACATTATTTTATTATCTGTGAATTGCCATAGATTCATGAGGAAAATATTTGAACGGATTATTGTTGCTTTCTCCATGGTTTTGAATTCAGATTTGTCTTTCTACTAGACCGCCTGCCAACCAAAGCTTGTAGTGAACAAAACAAGATCCGGATGTAAAATTCAAATGCTAAGCACTGACTCATTGATTTTGTTAGAAATTTAAAAAGACTCGAATTTACAAACTTTGCCTAACACACACACAAAAGAGAATCCAAAACAAAACTCGTGAAATTTCACACCTTGATGTGAAATGTTTTTCGGCCAATAGAAAACTAGGAAACATTTAAAAACAAAATTCAAATAATCTTCAATTCTCAGAAACAAATTCTTTTACGGGCCTTTTCGCGAGCCGACGCGAAGTTTGTTCGTCGTCCAATGGAAAGGCCCGAATCATATCCGGGAGTGAATTCCCAAATGACCTTTTCAAGCCCCACAAACAAAATAAAAGACAGTCAAGTTCGCCTGTCACCAAAGAGAAGGAGACGAGCGTATTAACACGTCCCTTGACAAACGTCAAGCGATCGTTATTATTATCTCTACCTTTCTCCCTCACCTCTTTTATACTTGATAAACGAACGGAACATTTTAAGACTGAGCGATTACTTCAAAGACATTCCTACCCTTCGATAACGCTCATACATACATACATCCACACATACGTTCCTGCCTACGTACACATAAACTCATTCTTGCAAGGACTACTACAAACATTTTGACGACTTTGTATCAACCAAAATACATTAATTTTATTTGTAGAGACCTTAATTGATTTATATGTATATGGATTTGTTGTTTCACTTTACAATTTGATTTTCTTGTTTTATACCCCTCTTATGTTGGGCTATCTAACTAACAAGGCCAAATAAAACTAATCTGTTTCAATATTCATACACTTCACTATAACGGACAACCCACTATAAGCTAAAGAAATCAGTCTATTCTGTTATTTAAACCATAAGCTGAGGGAAGTCTTGATTGATTAATTGATTGATTTTATTTTTGGCTAAGCTCAACAGACGAGCCCGGAATTTCATTGATTGATTTATTTTTACGGTTTATCAACCCTTTGTGTGTTATAAAAAATTTTCGGATTGTAGTAGTCCATTTACAGTACTCGATGTTCCCAAGAGATCCCCCATCTAAGTACTAACCGAGCTGGACGTTGCTTAACTTCGGTGATCAAACGAGAACCGGTGTTTTCAGCGTTATTTGACGGTAAGTAGCTGAGGGGTGGGTTGGAGAAATGGATCCATCCTTTTCCCAAGCTTACTTTTTGCGAAAGTGAACACAACGGACTAGGCCGGGATTTGAACTCGATTCTCCAATTCTCCTTTCTCTACCGATAACTGTTATACCACTTCCGCATTTAAAAAAAAAAAGCAATGTCCCTACAGGACATAGGCGATCATGGCCCTCCACATATTCCGTTCCATTATTATTTCTGAATTGCGATGACCCCTTAAAAAAAAAGATAGTAAGGTCGTTTTTCATTACTTTTTCCACGGTTTGAAATTCAAGGTTGTTTTTCTACTAGACCGGTGGTCACTCAAGTCTAGAGAGTCCACACTACTATTTAACCTATAGCTGGGGCGTGGCATAAGAGATGGATTTGTGCTTTTCCCACGTGTATTTATGCGAAAGTAAACGCAACAAACTAGGCCGGGATTTGAAATCGACTCGCCGATTCCACTTTTCGCACCGATAACAGTTGCTCTACCCGCAAATGTCTTTATCATTCCAAGAATTGTGTTGCATATGATGATACCACAAAGTCTCAGCCAATCTTATTCTCCAATCATCTTTAGGTGTACAACCAATAAAGAAAAATATAGTCTTGAAAAGATTTATTATCGTTCCAAGACTTGCTCAAACTGTTGAACACATTTTTTGCGTGTTTTTTGTTGTTACCACAATATTTCAGCATTTTCATTCTATGGCCTTCTTCGTGAGTACAAAGATGTCTATCGTAATTTTGAGAAGAGTCATTGTTTTAAGAAAATGCCCAAAATGACACTTAAAGAAGGAAGGAGAAGGGACCGATCAAAATAAAGGTGAGGATAATTAAAAATGAAAAAAATTAAATATAATAATAATAATAATAATAATAATAATCTGCGGTAAATATGATGAAACTGTCGACCATATTATCTCAGGATGTCCGGAACTAGCAAAAATGATAAATACCCACAAACATAATCAGGTGGCGACATATATGCACTGGAAGATATGCAAGAAGCACAAAATCGAAACCACTGAGCGATGGTATGAGCATCAACCAGACACAGTTACCCAAAATAACGATGTAGCTATAACTGATCCATTGCGGTTTATATGCCGTAAAACAAAATAAATCTAAACCCTGATCTGCAAATTGTTTTCTTATAAAAAAATACATATTCTATTCATACGAACCTATCCTAAAAATCTTGTCAGCATTAAATAACCCATTGAAATGTTGATGTGCCGTAAAACAAAATAAACCCAAACACTGATCTACAAACTGATTTCTTACAAAGAATACATATTCTATTCATACGAACCTATCCTAAAAATCTTGTCGGCATTAAATAACCCATTGAGGTTGATATGCCATAAAACAAAATAAACCAAACCAATCTAAACCAAAGAATACATATTCTATTCATACGAACCTATCCTAAAAATCTTGTCGGCATTAAATAACCCATTGAGGTTGATATGCCACAAAACAAAATAAACCAAACAAATCTAAACCAAAGAATACATATTCTATTCATACGAATCTATCCTAAAAATCTTGTCGGCATTAAATAACCCATTGAGGTGGATATGCCGTAAAAAAATAAACCAAATAAACAAAATCAAACTGTTAAACACATTTTTGTGTGGCTTTTGTTGTCACCACAATATTTCAGCATTTTCATTCTATGGCCTTCTTCGAGAGTACAAAGATGCTTACAGTAATTGTGAGAAGAGTCGTTTTTACGGGTAAATGTCCAAAATGACACCTAAAGAAGGAAGGAGAAGGGACCGATGAAAATAAAGATGAAGATAATTAAAAATGAAAAAAATTAAACATATTATCTCAGGATGTCCAGAACTAGCAAAAATGATTATACCCACAAACATAATAAGGTGGTGACATATATTCAATGGAAGATATGCAAGAAGCACAAAATCGAAACCACTGAGCGATGGTATGAGCATCAACCAATAAGGATTATAAAAAATGAAAAAAATAAGTAATAATCGGAGTAGAAGCGTACCCCACAAAAACCAACGACTCCCTCCTAGAAATAGGAAAACACCAAATCCACTCCATCAACAAAAAAGCTGAGATCTTCAAAAAACAGCTTAATATAACTGAGATTCTACCAACAAAAAACGAAGCGAATAGCATCTACGCCAAACGAGTAAAACAGAAAGCAAAACAACTTGGTCAAATGAAATTACATAAAAAAAAAAAAAAAAACTGGGAGGACAAAGCTTTGCGTGGCAAATGCCTAAAAAGAACGAAAGAAGCAGATGTGAACCAGCAGAAAACACATCAGTGGCTGGGGAACACCGGTTTGAAAGCTGAGACAGAAGGCATAATAATTGCAGCCCTGGGCCAAAGAGACTTTTATAGAAACAGGATTCACATTTCAGGCTTGTGACAACCAAACAGACAAGTACAAAATTCATATTGTTTTTGGTATCCAGTCCTTTGCAAGTAGATATATGCAAACCTTGTATTAAGAAGTTTGAAAATAAAATATATACATGCAATGATTTATCAACAAAATCCCTTGTGCACTATCTCTTCAGGAAATCCAAAGATATACTTTTAACAATCACAGACTATCTATTGCGAAAAGCTTCATCCAAGTAAGCTTTTTTTGTTAATAGCTGTCTTTAGTTTAATTAGATGGAAACAACAAAAAATGACATCCTTTGCTTGCCCTAGGCCGTTACTTATAACCCGACATGTGATTATAAAACTTCAAGAATTGTAAATTCAAGTTAAAAAGAATTTTTTGAAATAATAATAATTCCTGTAGTAATAGGAGCACTTGATAAAAAAAAAAATGAAAAGAAGAATTGGAATTGAGACCAAGAATGTAAAGCTCCAGAAAATTTACTCTGGGAGGGAACATTTAATTACCGCCGACTCAATACCACCGATTCATCACCGGTGTTTAATTTTCAAACTTTTCATCACACCAAAAATGGAAATTCTTAGTCAAAGGAAAATAGAAATTTGCACACGAAGGCCATTTATTTGTATTTGATAAGTTTAATAAAAGAGACAGTAACATAAAATGTTGGCGTTGTAACCAAAGCTCGAGGTGCAATGCAAGGATTCATACAAAATTTTGAGCAATTATCAAGGAAAGTAAACAAGCATTCCCACAATTCCTAAGCAGCCAATGTAGAAGTCGCTTAAGTGCACACAGCCTTGAAACGTCGTGCTGAAGACGCCGTTGAAAAGCCAAGTGCAGCAATGTGAGGTATTATCAAATGTATCTCAGGTTACACTGGGATCATTGCCAAATGCTTCAGTCATGAGGAAAAAGATTAAACGTAAAAGGAGAACCTTAAGTGCTCCCCCCCTTCAGATACTGTAGATCTTCAAGATTTTGCCGCACCAAAAATAAATTACTTTTATACAGTTTTTAAAAATATGTTTTAAAAATGATCCTTAATAAATTATTTTTTATAATTTTATTTAAAAAGTCCTGGAGGTGAGTCGGCGTTGACGAGTCGTCCTGCACACCATTTACTCTGCATGAATTTCCCGGAAAGTTATTGAGTTGTGAGAAGTTTTGTTAACATCATGACTCAAGAACAAAATTTCCATCGACAACGTCAATCTGCGACACCGAAATAATAATAATAATAATAATAATAATAATAATAATAATAATAATAATAATTGGCGAGCAATCGCCCTGATATCAACATTTACATTTAGTAGATTCTGTAGTAAATCAAAACAGAAGCCAAGAACCAACTATTGCAGCAAAAGATATGCAAGGATAAACAAGAGCAACCATAAATGGATCCTGATAGAAATTTACGGTACCTTGGGATAAGAACACCGTGAAGGCGGAACAGGGGAAAATACAGAGTTACCAAAAGATGGCAGGGAAAATCACAGAAATATACAGACAGAAAAAAAGCAGCTGTTGTAACATAGCAACCAAGGAATTTGAAAAGTTGGCGCACTTGGGACTATTTTCCACGCAGGAGAACTTGGATATATAATAATAATAATAATAATAATAATAATAAAAATGATAAAAGCAATAAAAAATAAAATGGATCCTGATAATTTTGGGTATACCTTGCATCATTCGGAGAAATTTACGGCCTTGGGATAAGCGGATGGCGAAAATGCGTCGCTTAGAACAGCTCATGTGCTGGGAAAAGTGAAGTGTCTCTAAGATGTAGGGTAGGATCTGAGATATGATCATCATCAAGCGACCGGAACATCTATGTCGGGGAAGATATCAAATCAAATTATAATAATAATAATAATGGATTATAAATTACGGAACATTTTAAATACCAAAACAAAATCTTTAAGTAATTATTCTCAAATTTACTGAAATTAACAGAAATAAAAATAAAAAAAAATTAAAAGACTTTAAAAAGATTTTAAATTAAGATTTTAAATTCACTGAAGCCGACGCTAGACTCATGAGAGCGTTATCGCCTCTCTTTCTTCTTCTTCCTTCCTTTCTTTCTTTCTTTCTTTCTTTCTTTCATATTTGTTTACCATGTCTTACTTTTTCCACACTTCTGTTCTTTCTTTCTTTTTTTTCTTTCTTTCTTTCTTTCTTTCTTTCTTTCTTTCTTTCTTTCTTTCTGATTTGTTTACCATGTCTTACTTTTTCCACACTTCTGGTCTGTTCTGTTTGTTCTTTCTTTCTTTCTTTCTTTATTTATTTATTTATTTATTTCATATTTGTTTACTATGTCTAACTTTTTCCACACTTCTGTTCTGTTCTTTCTTTCTTTCTTTCTTTCTTTCTTTCTTTCTTTCTTATTTGTTTACCATGTCTTACTTTTTCCACACTTTTGTTCCTTCTTTCTTTCTTTCTTTCTTTCTTTCTTTATTTATTTATTTATTTATTTCGTATTTGTTTACCATGTCTTACTTTTTCCACACGTCTGTTCTGTTCTTTCTTTCTTTCTTTCTTTCTTTCTTTCTTTCTTTCTTTCTCACTGAAACCAAGTAAGAACTTCACAAAATATCATTTTGACAGCATTTTGTCAGATAAGTTTTTGTCGGTTCAAAAACTGCTGAATGTTCGTTTCTATAAATTTTAGAATAAAACAAAAATAAACTTGTATCATTAATCTAAGGTCCAGACTGGTTTTAGGTTTGTTTTTTTGTTTTTGTTTTTGTTTTTTGTTTTTTAATTTAATTAAATAGAAAAAATGATAACGTTCGAAGAAACGAGTTGAAACTGAGACTTTAATACTAAATAAAAAGAAAATCAAATCTGTACTTGTAAATAATAAGTTAAACATGTTGAAAGGAAGTCGTCCTTGCAATGCAGATAAATCTTCTCACGTAAAGACACGAATTTGATTCGCAATTGCGCCTGTTACCATCTCTTATGAATTAAAATAGGTTGTTGGGCCAAAAGTGTTTAACCAAGTCGACATATCATTTCCGTCAATAATAAATCGTTTCATTAATCGCCGATAATGGCTCAACTGTATATTCGACAGTAACGGTGAAATTTCCCCGAGTACAGCTCGTATGAACATCTCTACTAATATTGTAGTGAGTTTAGGCCATGACACAGCAGTATAGGCGGTAGAGAAGATACATAGTAGCAGAGGCTCGCAGTCTAATTGCAACAGGGTCAAGTCCACCTAAAAGAAATGTGGAGAAAAACAACAAGAACCGATAGATATTTACAAACAAATTAATATATATATTAACAACAAAAAGTTTACAAATGACAAAAGCGATAATGAGGATGTATGAATGAACGTAGAAAGTTTTTGGTCAAAGTATGTGTAGTGAATGTGTGGGTATGTATGTATTGTTCATGACGTTTCCCACAAAAGAAAAACTCAATCTCCACGAAAGATTTACATCTTGTCGTATCAGCTGAAATGTGAAAAGAAAAAGAACGAGACAAAAATATCGCCGAGTTTATATAGCGCTGGAGAGCGCCCCCAAGTAGCGGTTTCAATAAAATAGGAAATTAGGAAGGAGGGAACTCCGACATACCAATCAAATAACATGAGATATCACAAAAAATGCCAGTGTATAAAATACAATACAAATTACAAGGAAGAAGGTACAATGAAAGGGTTTCATCGAGAACGAACCCAGTTAAAATGGTAGATTTAATTTGAAGGGATAAAATATGAATGTTCCTAATAGCTCTTGTGATTTGATGCGAGTTGTCGAAGTTTAAAATTCAGAGTCTTCAACGTAGAGCGTTGTTTTGAGAACAGTAATTGTTCTCTAACAGGAAAAGACTATTTTGTTACAATAGTCGTGGTGAAAATGAGACTTAATTCTGTCATGAAAACGACAATTTGGTTGTCAAGACTTCGTGGAGGAATGTTTTTTTGTTTGTTCTTTTTTTTTTCAGTCCACGCTCGGTCAGGTTTTCAGATGTTTTAGAAGGCGTCGTATCACCTATGTCCTCCACTCCGCGACGTTGCGTTTTTCCACTGATAGTCGTATTGCAGGGATTTTTATAGACAATGATCGGCTCCGATTTACCCGACAAACTTTGGCGGTGAACACAAGTATTTCAGATTTCAACCGAGTCGAGTACACATTGGATAAAAAATTACGTTTATCAAAATAATTTATTGTTGTAGAAAAAACACTTCTGCTGTTCTTTCCCTTTTCTTCACCTTTCATTGATTCTCATTCAGACAAGAAAGCTTTACACGCAGGGTGACAATGTTCAGATTTCAGAAATTATTTTATTACCTTCATCCTTTCCCACAAACTACCGAGAGACAAAATTTACTGAGAGTGAAAAAAAATACTCGGACTTGTATGAGTCTGCTAAATATTGTTTGCGAGACAAATAATACCAGTAGTCATAGGTTTTGTTTTACAGCATATCAACCTCAATGAGTTATTTAATGCCGACAGATTTTTTATTGCTGGTAATATTTTTTCTTCAAAAATGTATTGATGGTAATATTTTTCCTTCAAAATGTATTGCCAGTAATATTTGTCCTCAAAAAGGTATTGCTGATAATAATGTATTGCTGGTAATAATTTTTCCTTTGAAAAATTTATTGCTGGTATTAAAACCTGTTTTTATACTTTCATAGTGTTTTAACACCTGTTTGGGGGTTAACTATTTTCCCACAGTTGGGACCACCCCGGATCAGGGTGGACCTGGGAACACCAGAAATTAAGAGGTGGTTCCACGCTCCCCAAAACCTCCCGATCAGAGGCCTTGCTGCCGGGTGTAGTTTATCGTCATACCCAGGACGCCCATTAGTCATAAATTCTTTCCATTTCGCAACAAAATAAAGAACAAAGATATACATTTGTGGTTAAAGAAGAGAAATTATTATACATAAATTAATAAAAGTATAGATTCATTTATTCTTCGTTTACGATAAATAATTATTAATCTCAAATGTTTTTGCACGTGCTTCATAAAAAAAAATCCATAGAGACAAAAAGCGAAAAATAATTACAGGCAAAAATAGTTAAAAGAAAAAGTTAAAAGAATTCAGAAAACTAAAAAGAAATATATATATAAAAACACGTTCTCGTTATATTCAAGTAATTGTTACAATTATATTCCCCTTAGAGAAATTTCCAAAACGTAAGTCTAGCGAGAAAGTTGTCAATACCCCATAAAAACCTCCGTGTTAAAAAAAATGCTTTCCTGCGATATTTTAAACTAAAAGTAATATTTGTTTCAAATTAGATTAATTAAATTTTAACTCAGATAATCTTCCTCAAATAAAGTTTCAGAAAAGTATCTTTCATTTTTGAAAGATTTTTTAATATAGATAATTCCGTTGTGCTGACAGATTTGTCAATATTCACGATTTTAGCGTTTTTACTGATAATAAAAAATCTTATTCTAATCAGTTTAATTTCGGTTTGAAATACAGCAAAGTATTTTGCTTATTGGAAATATTAAATTTAATTTAACCTATTAGCTTGAAATTAAAAGTAAAATAAAAGCTTCAAGAAAGATGTTTCATTTTTAAAAATGCATTTTAAACCTCAGGTATCGCTTTTCTCTGGAGGCACCTACAATTGTTGTTTGCTTAAATTACGTCTTGTGTCTTCTTTTTATTACCTGGACTCGCATGGGTCTGTTAAATATTGTTTGTGGGACGAATAATAACAAAAGTTAAACGATAAGTCTTTCTGTTCTGCAAGAAGTTAAATGTAAACGCTTCTGACGTTATCAAATGGCAAATTCAAATACAGGACGAATGTTTTGGCCAACCCTGTAAAGTTCAAAGGAAGATATTTACTGCTAGCAAAGCCTCAAGAAGATTCACCCCGCATTCTTTGACTATTGCCAAGAAGACGTAAACGAATGCTTACCTTCTGTTCGCGACCCCCCCTAGCCCCACCACTACCACCAAAAAAAAAATGTAATTAAAAAAAGAAAAGTATTTACAACAGGGGGAAGCTGAAGGAGAATTTAAAACTACACGATGCCGAAACTTAATTCCTCAGTGGAAATGTTAAACAGCACGCAAGTAGTTCTCCCCCTCTCTCTCTCTCTCTCTCTCTCTCTCTCTCTCTGCCTCTCTCTGCCTCTCTGTTATCTACATCATCTTGAATAATGTCTGAAGCAACCCACCTTTATTTATGGGTTCCGTCTGGATAGGCGTCGTCAATGCTGGGGGAAGGAAATATTAATTTTTACGGCGGCAGATGTTGACGGAATTAAAAAAATAAAAAAAATTATAAAAAAGGAAATCGTATTTAAAGAAGGAAGCTGGTTAATCTCCGCCACCGAGTAAATATTTGCTTATGTTCGAGAGAAAAAAAAAACTTTTACTTTTATGCAAAAATGAAACGTTCGCCAGAGGCGTTCGCTGCCACCTTTTAGAAGTGGGGATCCAAAATGTCTGCCATATTTTCTAAGATGGGGAGAAACTATTTATTCGAAATAACCTATTATAACTCTTCTTTTCCCTCTCTTCGTTAGTTTGCACGACCGTTACACCCTGTCAATATCTCATAAATAATGGACTATTCCGTTTTGATCGCATGAGAAGACAAAAAACCTGTAAAGATGCTACCTTGTTTCAGTCAGAAAATAAAAGAAAGAAGGGAAGGTAGAAATATTTAGCGCCTGTTTCTGTGAAACCTTCTTTCATCTGTACCTCCTTACTTCTTCAAATAACGACCGGCATTTGGGAAGTTTCGCCACTGCCTATGGAACGTGAGAGGTATCAAAATGGACACCAAAATACGGGTTTATAGAGCAGCCATTTTAACCACACTGTTGTACGACTCAGAATTGTGAACATCTTATCAATCGGTTACATGTCTTCCACAAAAGTTGTCTCCGCGCGATTTGTGGCTATCCTTTTGTTATACTGGAACACACCTATTCTATAGTTAATAGACTCTCCCAGTAGTAGTAGTAGTAATAGTCGCTCTGTGAGTTGGTCAGTCAGTTGATGTGGGACACTAAGAGTATCAGCGACCACCACTAGATTTCTCTGCGTCATTACTAATTATATCAAGTCCCTAACGTTTTGTACGTCGAGCCTATTTTAGGACCGACTTAGTGAAATACAAGCTTCCACTGTGAAACTACTCTATAACACCTTTTGACGATAGGGTGTCCAATGTTGATCGTCTAACAAATTACAACATTGGTAGAATTGAGACTTTCCTGATGCAGTCACAATTTCGCTGGGCTGGTTACATAGCAAAGATGAGTGACAACAGAATAACTAAAGTCCTCATGTATAGCCAGCTTCACAGTGGACAAAGGACTGTTGGACGATTGTGGCCCAGGAATAAAGACAAGCTAAAGAGTAATCTCTCAGCTGTCAACGTGTAGCCCTTGGCAATCCGATTTGTTATTTCGTCATCAAGGTATGCATTTGCATTCATCTTACTTCCTAAATATGTAAATGATTTCACATATTTCAAGTTCTATCCATCAATCTGTATAGGAGTCTTTGGAATTGATGAACTGGTGAAAGTTGTCTGACACCGCGAATCTGCTTAAGACAAGGAGGCGGCTGGTGGATTACCTCCATTTTCTTTATGTTAATGGTAAGGCCAAAAGCTTTTCATGCAACAAAGAAACGGTTGACGATTTCTTGTGCTTCCTCTGGGGATGTTGCCACAAGTGCAGAATCATCAGCAAACAGCAGATCACGAATGACGCTAGTTTGAATAAATGTTTTAGCGTTGAACTGCTGATGGTCGAAAAGGCCACCAGTGGTCCGAAATTGAAATTTAATATCAGTGTCCATGTCATCAAAGGTAAATTTGAGCATTACTGAGAAGAATAGATCAAAGAGAACAAGGGCCATGACACAACTTTGTTTCGTGTCATTTGTAACATCAAAGGAATAAGAGAGCAGCTATGTCAATGCTGTACTTCTTCAGCTCAAAAGAAACTAATGCCGTTTTTCGTTCTGGTGACTGGTCACTGTGTTTGAGTGTGCGTATATTCCAAAAGCCAAAGCTCAATTTCTTACATTTCTTCTTGTTCGGACTGCAATACTAGATAACCGGACAGTTGCAGCTGGCTGCCATGTTGAGATTGTGAGTAAGCAATGTTTAGAGCTCCTTTTCTCGCCCCGTCTCCGGATTGGAGAAAGCAGTGCTGTATCTAAATAGGCCTGCTTTGTCACTATTGGAGGACACCAGCAGCATAATTACTCACGGGTTTATGCTAGAACGGCTCTCACCCAATGGTTACCACTGTGTAGAGCAACAGCTAAAGACTTTCAGTAATACCCTTCACTTGTCCCCGTTGCCTTAACTCTCTCGCCTGAGGACTTGATGCAAGTAAATGTGTGGAACTGAGATAATGAAAGTTGTCAGAAAACCCACGCAGAGGATTTGATTATAGTGGTGAAGGCGTATGAAGGACCATCCAAATGTTTTAGAACTGCTAATAGCACAGATTCGGTGCAAAAGATTGCCACAGAAATGGTGAACAACAAACCTCAGGTTTTATTAGTCTCGGATTTGAAACTCTCCGAAACAACCACCAACAACAAAATACGCCACCTTTCAACGATCATGCTGAGGACAGAAAGGTTTTGATGCCGTGAATTTTCCTTCGCAACCATGTAGTATTTCATATAAAAGATCTCTGGCAATCTAACTGCAAAAAGGGATTATAAATTTTGGAATCCCGTTACATTAAAAGAAAGCAAACCACTATTCATAATATATTATGGTAATTTACCCACGCACTCATGGACTTTCCCAGCTATAAATAGAAGTAGGTACTGCCTTTTGGAGAGGGAAGTTTCCAGTAATCAGCTCTGACAGTCGGACCAAACATTCTTGCTGTAACACTCTCGTTTGTATATGTTTGTATTACTGTTTCTGTTAATATATTTGTTTAACTCAATTCCTCTCTTGTGTCTTTATTTCTGGCCCTAACAAGGCCACAACAGAAAAAAAACAAAGAAAGTAAGAAAGTGTTATGGCAATTTACCCATGCACACATGGACTCTCTCAGCTATAAATAGGAGCAGGTACTGCCTTTTGGAAAGGGAAGTTTTCAGCAGTCAGCTCTGACAGTCGGAAAACATTCTTGGTAACACTATCGTTTGTATATGTTTGTATTACTGTTTCTGTTAATATATTTGTTTAACTCAATTCCTCTCTTGTGTCTTTATTTCTGGCCCTAACAAGGTCACCACATAATATCATGAAATTTTCCATGTTAGTTACTGCATACGTTACATCCTACCAATACCTCAGAAATAATGGACTATCCAGTTTTAATTGCGAGAAAAGACGGAAAAAACATATCAAAGACGCTGTTTGATTTCAGTGAAAGAAAGAAAGAAAGAGTTGATAATGCCCCCATGTGCTTAATGTCTGCTTCAGAGAAAGAGAAAGCTTTGTGAATTTTTAATTATTTCATTTGTACCCTCTTACTTCTTTAAATGATGAGTTGCATTCATATTTTATGATTTTATTCAAGGTGTAAAGCTGAAATATTTAATGATGCAATATTTTTAAATGGAGACGAAACAGGACAGAGAAGAGTAATAAAAAAAAAGTATGCAACGGATATTTAATGAATGCTTACAATCAGGGCCGATGCAAGGATCTTGTGCCCCCGCCCCGAATCTATGATACAGGGCCTCCCACTCTACTACACCTCAATTTTCATAGGGTAGTATTCATATAAAATGCACATTTTATTCTAACCTAATTATGTACAATAATGCATCATATGCAATAGAAGTGAACAATTCGACCAGAAAAATTGAAAATAAATACAATGTATCTAGACACAAATTAGAGATAAAACATTCCGTCTTACATAATTTTTAACATCTTACCTTACAACATATCAATTTTCTAGAAGGTAGTATTCATATAAAATACAAATTTTGCTGTAAAATAATTATGTCCAATAATGGATCATATGCAATATAGGTGAACAATTCAACTAGAAAAATAGAAAATAAATACAATGTATCTAGATACAAATTAGAGACATGTCATAATAGATCTTTCCATCGTAAATAAATCAATAATGTTTTGCGATAATTTTTAACATCAACAAAAGTTGAATAATTTTAATACATTCGACATTATGAATAAAAATAGTGAATTTTATATAGCGTTTGTTTCAAAACATAGTATGTCAGTCAGTCACATGTGCCATGCGTGAAACACGCTTAGACGATCATGTATCTTTCGATACATGACTGACGAGGCAGATTTTTTTTCCCGCAATAGGTTGCCATTTCTTTAGGCGATAGACCAGTTGCCGTCCAAGGTTATAGAACCCGGTCTGCCCTGTTATTTACCCATAGCTGGGGGGGGGAGAAGACGATTCATGCCTTTCTCAAGGGTATCAGCAATTAAGTGCATATAATGGATTTGAACTCGGCTCCTCAATCCGAGCAGCTATCGATTACTCTACCGTACCTCCCTTAGCATGAGCAAAACAAATTCACGGATTTGGATGAAAAAAAAAGACCCTAGAATGACGTCAAAATCCACAAAATATTTTCACCCTTTAATAAATAGTTGAGCTTAGTTGAATTTGTAACGTATCTAAATGTAGGTAGAGAAAAAGCAAATGTTGATAAGATAACGAGGGTCACAAAGCACTACCCTGGGCCTCCAATAAGGCCCTATTCGCTGGTCCTGGTGTTCGGCCCTGCATTTGCACACGCAGTTTAATTGAGTCTGAATTAGGACATTAGTATAACACATTCTCCTCCTTCACACTCTGGAAAATCACTACTTTGAGCTGAGCAACAAAATCATAAAGTTAGAGGCAAAAAAATTAATTTTTTAAACCTTGAAAAAAATCAGGTAATTATAATTAATTAATTTTATTAAACTTTTCGGAAAGTATTCGATAAAGAATAGAATTAATTTTTTAAATATTTTTGTTTTTATCGTAGAAATACTTTTAGATCTACCATTGAGTTAAAATATAAATGTGCACACAAAAACATGTGCACGCAGACAATTTCAACGAAATGTCTGACAACAACCCCTGAGTAACAGGAAAAAGTATAAACAAGCCTTATGAAGTAGTTTTTATAACTCCTGCATTTCAACAAACTAGATTTTCAAATAAATGTAATATGACTTTGGGCTGATGACTTTCGAATGGATTGTCCAAAAGGTTTTTGGTAACAACTAAAATAATCCATTCAATACTCTAAAAAATTGTTTGAATAACACTGATGATTCTCAAAGTTGTAGGAGGGGTAAACATAAAACGCACCCATCAACCAATCATTCCAAGGACTGGCTAATGATCAACCCACGTTACATTTAATAATTTAGTGATAAAAGTCTTACTGATTAACCCATAGCTGGGGGAAAAGAGGTGGGTTCATAGCTTTCCAAAGGATATTTGCAAACAAATTAAGATAATGAATCCAACTGGAATTAGAACTCTGCTCTCCGATTAACAATTACATAGCCATTACCCATTACACCACCTGCACATCCAAGCTCACAGCAGCTGGTATTCTCAAGCAGTTACCCACCTAGGTACTAACTAGGTTTGACATTGCTTAACTTCAGTGATTGTATGGGAACCTGTGTTTCAACAGTATGTGGCTGTAAGCTGAATGCCGGAGAATTTCCCATCCCAGTTCCACAATCATTTGCTGCATCAAAGGCATCTTTGGATACATGCTGATGATCTTGTAATGGAGTGTCTAAAAGTTTTTTGGTAACAGAATAATGCATTCAATACTCGGAAAAACTGTTTGAATAACAATGATGAATCTCAAAGTTGTAGGTGTAATCAAAACGCAACCATCACCCAAGCGTTCCAATTTTCTCTTTAGTACCTAGACTTTATGAATTTAAGTAAAGTACTAGATTTGCAATGATCACCCGACGTCATATCTCATTGATCTCGTCGGTGTCCAGCGAAAGCTGGGAAAGAGTGTGTTCCATGAGTACAAGGTAACACAATGTAAGAAAATGAGAAAAAAGAATGCAAATCCTATTTTCCATTATAAATTTTAATTGTAGGAATACTGTTAAGTCTTTCATTGAATATAAATAAAAATGTTTACACGCAAACAGTGATAAAGACAGCTTATATAAATGGCTAGTAAATAATTTGCAATGCATTCCTATAGTAAAATCATTTCCAATGAATTTCTATCTATGCTTTTAGTATTTGCTATGTCACTATATATGTAATCATTAGAGGGGATGAAAGTTTCGATGGATTTGTACATGGATAATTTCAACGAAATAGAAATAGACATCTTTGTTCCAATGTCTAATTTCCCTTTCTGTCTGATAACAACACTTGGGTAACAGGAAAAAGTATAAACCAGCTTATGAATTAATTTTTATAACTTCTGTATTTAAACTGACTATATTTTCAAATAAATATAGTATTTAAAAAAATTTAAAGTTTATATTGAATATTGCTACCAGATCTTGTCTGATGTTTCTTTTATGTATTAAAAATACAAAGAATTAAAATCCAAAGAAGAATCTGCAATGTTATTGACCCTAATCTGGCATCTCGTCTTCAGTCAATTTCTCACCACCATAACTTAGCTTCCATGTGTCTTTGCTATAAATATTTTCATGGTAATTGTTCTGGTGAGCTTTCCTCTTTAGTACCTAGACTTTATAAATTTAGGTGCAATACTAGATTGGTGACAAGATCTCATCATTTTACAGGTGAAATGGCTAGATATAACCATAACTTCTACGATATCAGTTTCTCGCACTTCTCACTTGTGGACCTATCTTCCGCCTTCTAGCTTTCCAGTCAATTTTGATCTTCAAAAATGTAAATGCAATGTCAATCATTATCTGTTGTCTGCTTAATTCCTGTCCTTTTATTGTTCTATCTCCTAAATAATTTTTCTCATATTCCCCCACACTCTGTAATCTCTTGTGACTTAGTGACTTTATTGCCTTGCTTGGGATGAAATGTTTTTACTATAGGAATGCATTGCAAATTATTTACTAGTCATTAATGTAAGCTGTCTTATCACTGATAGGATTTATTAAACAAATCCATCCAAACTTTCATTCCCTCTAATGATTACATATATAGTAACATAGCAAATACTAAAAGCATAGATAGAAATTCATTGCAAATGATTTTACTATAGGAATGCATTGCAAATTATTTACTAGCCATTTATGTCAGCTGTCTTATCACTGATAGGATTTATTAAACAAATCCATCCAAACTTTCATTCCTCTAATGATTACATATATAGTAACATAGCAAATACTAAAAGCATAGATAGAAATTCATTGAAAATGATTTTACTATAGGAATGCATTGCAAATTATTTACTAGCCATTTATGTCAGCTGTCTTATCACTGATAGGATTTATTAAACAAATCTATCCAAACTTTCATTCCCTCTAATGATTACATATATAGTAACATAGCAAATACTAAAAGCATAGATAGAAATTCATTGGAAATGATTTTACTATAGGAATGCATTGCAAATTATTTACTAGCCATTTATGTAAGCTGTCTTATCACTGATAGGATTTATTAAAGAAATCCATCCAAACTTTCATTCCCTCTAATGATTACATATATAGTAACATAGCAAATACTAAAAGCATAGATAGAAATTCATTGGAAATGATTTTACTATAGGAATGCATTGCAAATTATTTACTAGCCATTTATGTAAGCTGTCTTATCACTGATAGGATTTATTAAAGAAATCCATCCAAACTTTCATTCCCTCTAATGATTACATATATAGTAACATAGCAAATACTAAAAGCATAGATAGAAATTCATTGGAAATGATTTTACTATAGGAATGCATTGCAAATTATTTACTAGCCATTTATGTAAGCTGTCTTATCACTGATAGGATTTATTAAACAAATCTATCCAAACTTTCATTCCCTCTAATGATTACATATATAGTAACATAGCAAATACTAAAAGCATAGATAGAAATTCATTGGAAATGATTTTACTATAGGAATGCATTGCAAATTTTTTACTAGCCATTTATGTAAGCTGTCTTATCACTGATAGGATTTATTAAACAAATCTATCCAAACTTTCATTCCCTCTAATGATTACATATATAGTGACATAGCAAATGCTAAAATAGATTTTAAAAAAACGTATTGTAATTTTTTATTATAGGAATATATTTCAGTTATTTAATGCATCAATTATTTTAGGGGTTTGAATTATATGTGACTTTTCCTAACCAAAATTGTGACTTTTTCTTTTGACTTCTTTTACCATAAAATTAAAGGGAAATACTTAAAAACAGGATTCCAGAAGGTAAAACAACAATATGTCTGTTGATGTGAACTTTGCCCTGAAATGTCTTCCCAAATCTCCTCTGTTATCTTTAAAACTCTTTCAAACAAGTGATTCAATGAAAATATTGACAATCACTACGGCTCGCACCTGTATAAGCTGACAATGGGGTCACTGATGTTGGTAGGCATAATAGTTATTTCTCATCCCATCCAGTCCCATAGGATGTGTGATCTTGTTTTTATTCTGAGTCAACAACGCTCTGATCCCTAAACAGTCAGAATTGGATTCTTATCTTTTCAAATGGCAAAGGGTGTTCCAATAACTTGGATCGATTATAAATGTGAATTAAGTTTAAGCGTCTGATTTTTTTTCTTTTTCTTTCAGATTTAAAGTCTTTGGCAATTTTAACCATGGAAAGATTAATAATCAAGCATTTTGTTAAAGTTTCAAGAGGGCAATTGGAAAAATTGTTCATAAATTCAAACAAACTGGGTCGGTGGCAGATGTGAAATCTATCTATCTATCTATCTATCTATCTATCTATCTATCTATCTCGTTAACATCAAATAAGAGGATAACAGCCAGAATGTACAAAATATATTTATCTATCTATCTATCTATTTCAGTCTATTTATCTACATCTATCTATTTCAGTATCTATTTCTATCTATCTATTTCAGTTTCATATCTTCTATTTAGTCTATCATATCAATCTCATTTCATTTATCTATCTATCTATCTATCTATCTATCTATCTATCTATCTCTTTCAGTCTTTTCATATCTATCTATCTATTTCAGTCTTTTCATATCTATCTATCTATCTATCTATCTATCTATCTATCTAACTGTCAATCTATCTACCTCAGTCTGTACATATCTATCTCAGTTTGTTCATATGTATCTATCTCAGTCTGATGATATCGATATCCTTCTGTTCATTATCTATCTATCTATCTATCTATCTATCTATCTATCTATCTATCTATCTATCTAAGCCTGCACATTATCTAACTATCTATCTATCTATCTCAGTCTGTACATATCTTGTTAAAGTTTCAAGAGTGCAATTGGAAAAATTCAAACAAACTGGGTCGGTGGCAGATGTGAAATCTATCTATCTCTCAGTCTATTTCTATCTATCTATCTATCTATCTATCTATCTATCTATCTATCTATCTATCTATCTCGTTAACCAAACGAGATATCAACAACAAGAGGATAACGACCCGAATGTAAAAAATACATAGTACAAAAATGCCCAATGCTGTACATTGTCGAAACATCAAAAAACTATTAAAAAGATTATATAAACATCGTAGGGATATGATGCATAACAACAACACTTTAAACGCATCGTAATACAATCTGATGATAATTGCAATTTAAGAAATGCAAGTTTAATCAGGAGAGAAAAGGATTTAATAAAAAAAATGCATTGAGATTTGCGCTAATCTGATAATTCTTGACAATAAACCAGAAAGTAGGTCCATACATAATGTCAACGATTATCCCAAAACCAATAGTAGCAGAATACAGTATACGAGCTCATAGGGAAAAAGGAAAGATCCATTAGGAGTGGGTTGATTTAAACTTCAACAGACATCATGGCTCTAATAAAGGGTGTTCCAGTAACGTTATAGTCTTCGAGTAAATTTTACATATATGTTCACCGTAGAAAAAATTAGATAAACTTCTGTGTGTTAGTTAAGTTGCAAACCTGTCAATATCTTAAATAGATGCCTATACCGTGTTACAAATGCATTTCTGCAATATGTTAAACTAAAAGTAGGTAATATTTGTTTCAAATTAGATTAATTAAACTTCAAAGGAATTAACTGCAGTCGGGATCATCGGGTCAATGCGTACGATCATTTCTTTAGCTGCATAGGATGTGCTACACCAGGGTTACATACAGTTTTGAATTCCGAGTTTTCCTTCTCCTAGAACGGTTGCCACCCATGGCTATAGAATCCAGTGTGACCTGCTATTTACCCATGGCTGTTGGGAGAAGAGACGAATTTATACATTTCCCAAGGGTATTAGCATATATGTGAATGCAATAAATTCAACTAGAATGCATATTCAGTTCTCCGATTCCACAATCCGAGCCACAATTGAACTTAACTAAAGAGAATTATATTGTGCTGACAGATGACTAAAAATGGCGCTAAAATCAGCGATTTTTGCCGATTTCAAAACGAAAACTCTTTCCATTCAATTTAAATTAGTTTTGAAATCCAGCAAAGTATTTTGCTTTTTGGAAATATTAAATTTAATCTAGTATCTTGTGATCAAAACTAAAATAAAAGCTTCAAAAAAGATTTTTCGTTTTTAAAAATTCATTTTAAACTTTAGTTGTCGCGTTTTCTGTGGACGTACCTACTTAATAATGCCTGTAATAAAGTCACAGAAAGAAGTCACAACGTTGGCTAGGAAAAAAGTTCGTAGAAAAAAGTCACAATTAAATTATGGTGGCCGGTAATGGAATCATCTATTTCTGTTGGGTACTTCACGAGTTTATGGGTCCGCTCAATTTGCAACAGAAATTCATAGTAACCCGATCCAACCCCACAAAAATGTTTTATAACAATTCTACGGTCACATATTCAATCTGTTTCATAGTTAGGGAGTCCTAGTATCCCATAAGAGCCGGCTTATATAAAGAAAGCTTCAATTTGACATTAACATTTGAATTAAAAGTTCCTTGAATTTTCAATTTATTTATGATACTCGGATTTTGTTCACTTTTTAGATAAGAGGCTGGGATTCTGTCCACTGGGTTTTGTCCACCGGGTAATCAGCATATCTTAGGTTGTTAAGATTGTGACCGCCAATAATGGATCCTGGTAGCACTTTTAATTCTCTCAGAACCGCATCAATGGATTGTTTGAATAAGTCCGGTGAGAAGACACACCCTTGTCTTACACCTTCTTTCTATTTTTATATATTAACTGAATTCATTTTCTAATCGTATGCAGGCGTTTTGTTTCCATTATAGTCTCTGCATTATTCTTATAGTTTTCTTTCCGTGTCTGCTATCAACACCGTGTCATCTGCATATCGTATGCTGTTAAGATTGTGGCCGCCAATAATGAAACCTGACCGCCGCAAAGTAGCCTCCCTGTGTCTTTTCTATAAATACTTTCATGGTAATTGTTCAGATGAACTCTTTGATATGGTACCTAGACTTTTAAAATTTAAGTGCAGTACTAGACCGGCTTTGAGATTTCATCAATTTAGTAGAGGTGGCAAGATGCAACCGTAAGTTCTATGCTAACAGTTTCTTTTCTCGCACCTTTCGCTGGTGGAACTCTTTTCCGACTCCATGCTTTCCAGTCAACTTTAATCTTCAAAAAAGATTAAAATCCAATGTCGATCGCTGTCTACTGTCCTCCTGATTACTCTTTCCTCTTCCCGCTCAATATTAATGTTTCTGTTTCTTCCACACCCAGTAACTCCTTGTGTCTTAGTGGCTTTACTGTCTTGCAGGGTTGAAATCGATTAAAAAAATGATACATGTGGTGGTGTCTGTCTACTAGAGTGGCTAGCCAATCCCTGTTGCAGATACCTGCTCAGTCATATTGTTACTATATTCTTAATAAAAAAAAACTCTTATAGAATGCACTTTTAACCGGGAAGTGTTTGTTCAGTAAAGCGAAAGATTTCAGGTCAGCTTTGGTGTATAATTGTAAGTTCTACACTAATAGTTTCTTTTCTCGCTCTTCTCGCCTGTGGAACTCTCTTCCAGCTCCATGCCTTTCAGTCAACTTTTTGTTTCAGTAATATTTCTGTTTCTAATTTTTCCACACCCAGTAACTCCTTGTGTCTTAGTGGCTTTACTTCCTTGCATGGAGTGAAATCAATTAAAAAAAACAACACTTTTAATTCTTTCAGAATTGCCCCACTGTATAGATTGAATAAGTCCGATTGAATGAAAAAATATTTATAGCTGGACAAAGTTTTCCCAGTCTTTCGTATTTTTATTTATTAATTCTTCTATTTTTCTACTCGTTTCATTTGAAACGTAAACGTGTGGACAATCGATTTACGTTCAAATAGCAAGATGAGACATGAGAAATTTCCCCCCAGGGAAAAAAAAAACAAAAAAACTTGAGGACAGAAGCACTTACGGTATGTGATGGCATTTCCTGCTTACTCCAAATATATATTCGAACGTGACAGCGTCGAGATTCCACGTGTTTGGCCGACGTGATGATTTTGAGGGAGCTTCAGGTTAGAAGTTCCACGAGCCATTCACTGACGGTCGGTCAACAGAGACGAAGTCGGTAGACGATACCGCCTGTCCGTCGTTTTCATCTCAGAGATCTCGCCAACAATTTAAGCCAGTATCTGACAGCGTCCAGTACTCGCCCGCGAAAGGACGCCTTACAGTTAATCAACTCAGGTATTGGGTCTTCTTGACTGACAATATAGAAGCATAACCACGACTCATAATCTCAAAACTTTGCAGGTAAGTCAGCTTACACTATTCTAACTTGTCCAATATGGTTTCTCGATTTCGTTGGCCTTAGGCAATTTTTTTCTTCTTAATACAATACAAACAAGGCCCAAGAGCCACTTAAGATACAGTGTCACCGAATGAGTTCCTTTTGTTTGTTTTTTAATCGATCGCATCTCAAGCAAGCCAGTAAAGCTACTAAGGCACAAAGGCTACTGGTTATACACGAATTAGGAACAAAAAAATTATTAATTAGAGGGAAGAGAAAATATTAATCATGAGGACAGTAGATAGCGATTGACACTGCATTTAAATTTTTGGAGATCAAAGCCGGAAAGGAGTTTCACAAGCGAGAAAAAAAATTCTTAGCATAGAACTTACGGCTATATCTATCCTGCTCAACTGTAAATTGATTGGATCTCGACGCCCGTCTTGTACTGCGCTTAAATTCAAAATGTCTAGGTATCATAGCGTAGAGCGATATTTATTTCCGCTTCAAATACAGAAAAGCTGGCACAAGGCCAAAAATGAGAAATGGGGAAAAAACGGTCTTCTTCTGTCTTCACTTTAAACTTAGCTAGCCACAAACACTGACCCAAACATATAAATTCCAAACACCAAAACAACACATTCTTACTTACCTTTCTTACTACATCCACCATAATACCTCATTGTCTCTATGAAAATCCTAACTAGTCCCCATATGTACAATTTTTTGTCTGTGGGGGAGGGGAATAAAACAACAATTTAAAAACTAGACCCAATAAGTATTTACAATATGAAAACAAAACTATTTACAAGAAACCAAATAAAATAATCAGTGTAGAGCTTATCCGAACAAATACCATGAAAGTATTTATAGAAAAGACACAGAGAGACAACTTACAGTGATAGGAAAGTAATTGAAGCCGAGCCGCCAGATCAGGACCGATAATATTGCAGATTCTTCTTTGGATCTTATCAAGGAGCTCAAGGTAAATAGCAAGATCACCTGATTCTATACAATATTCTAAACATGGACGAATGGTAGGCTTATAGATTCTGGAGAGAAAAAATGTCTCGCACGACACAGTGAACAGATTTTCTTAGCAGCTGACCTAGCAATGGATTCAATATAGTCTTTCCATTTCATGTCAGCTGAGAACGTTAACCAGAGAAGGCGCAATGAGTTACTTTCCTCAGATTAGGGAATATCAGTATCTGTCGGCTCAGGAGATTTTATATGCTAGGCCATAAAAATCTCCATAGAAATGAATACAAGATAGGAACCAGTAATAAGGAGTGCCAGAGAAAAGCGATAATAACAACAAAAGTTGCAATATGAGCTCTGGTAAAAACATGCAATGATAACAGCAAAAATTGCAATATGAGCAATGGTAAAAAAAATTGTTGCTGAAGACATTAGGTTTATAATACCCCAAAATTCATACACAGATGTCCTCAAGAACACAGTGGATAAAGGCGATGGTTAGATCCAGTGACAGGACCTAAAGACTGTGAGTTAAGGCAGTGGAGAACTTTAACTGATAACTGACATTCATTAAACATGGCACGTGGAATTAGAACAGTCTACCCCAATGAGCGAAATAAAGGCTTCAGTTCGACATTCCAACCATCTGAAGAGCAACATTGTAATAAATATGGCGACAAAAAGAAGGCCGAAACGTTGTAATAAATATGGCGACAAAGATGAGAACAATAGTCCGAATAATGTAAATTATGTTAATGTATAAGATAGATTATGGGAATGTGTAAGATAGATAATGGTTGAAGCTAGACATAACGTTAAGATTGTAGTGGTCGGAGAAGAATCTTCACAGTAGCAGTTTTTGGGGAAGAAGCTGTCTGGGTAGAACTTCCTCCTAACCAATGGATTACGAATAGAATGAGGATGATTCGAGCCTATGTACGTAACAAGGCGGGTCTTAGCTGTAAAGGCCTGAACTGAGGGAACTAAGAAATGGCGCTCGTCTGAAACTTTGAAACGTTAGAGTAGCGAGAGGCTACCGATATTTTGGGTGTGGGAAAGGGACTGGAGAGTGAAAAATAATTGATCACCCACAAGGCCGCGTAGATATAGATCAATAAGTCTGTAACAAGAATTGTCTTAAATCTTCATTAAATAGCGTTCGATCTATGCCATTCATATTGATCATCACTAGATTAAGGGCATTGACAAGGAAAGAGATTATGGTAAAAAATAAATATTGGTGTGTAAAATAAGTCTTTTTCTTCATTAGACGACGAAGTTATTATATACACAGAACAACCTCGGTTCTCGAACGACTCGCATGTCGAACAAATCGGTTTTCGAACAGAAAATTCGAGATGAAAATGCCTCGGTTATCGAACAAAATTTCGGGTCTCGAACAACATTGCCGAACCGAGCCGAACCCATCCGAGTTAACCCGAACGGAATCAGTCGACTGTCGTGTTGCATATATTCGTGTGTCGTGCTGTGCTTTTCTTTTCCGATTATATTCTAACGTGCCTTTTTGTTTTCTCTTTATTGGCCCTTAGTCATGGCTCCAAAGAAATCTAGCAGTGATGCAGGTAAAGGAAAAAGAAAAGTTAGGAGAAAAACATATTGTTGATGATATTGTCTCTTCCTACTTAGTTTGGTATGGCAAAATCAACGATCTATACTATTCTTATAAATAAAGAGACGATCATATCTTTCCTTCCCCTTCCACACCACCTTCCTCTTACGCCATCAACTCCCCTACTTAGAGGTACGGTAAAAATTAAATTATATCTTTTATCTATTTAGTATTGAGTTTATTTATTTTTTTTCTTACATTTAATTATTTTTGTGGATAACTTGTGCACAAGGTACTGTTAAATTCGTGAACTGATATTACTTCCTGTACAGTTAACTTTTACTTCCTGCATCTTCAAACTCCACGGACGTGAATTCCATTTCATATCTGGGTCAAGAAGACAGACGATCACATTTATCGTCTGCCGAATGATCTATTCTCAACATGAGGTAGAAAGATTTTTCTTAATTGTTTATCATATTGCTCTGTATAAATAAAATAGATCGAGCTCTCTTTGTGGGTCAATTTTAATATACTTATATTACTAGGATTATAATATACCCAAAGTTTTAGATCTCTATATATATATATATATATATATATATATATATATATATATATATATATATATATATATATATATATATATATTTACGATCGTCGTCGAGAGACGATATTTTAGTGCGGTGCGATACGAGGCTTCTGGTGGGATATATGGAGAATGAGGGCTGCCTGGACATCTAGTCCCCCCTCTCGGCACCTAGCAGAGCCCAAAGAAGGATAAACCAATGCAGTTTGGTACCAGCGTGGCTGCAGGAGTTGCCGGAAGGTAGCAGAAAGTGCCGTCCATCCGCCTTGGAGATCCACTCCGGGTTTGAATTCAAGTTGTCCTTCTAGACCAGTTGCCATCAAGGCTATAGAACCCAGTCTGTCCTGCTATTTACCCATAGCTGGAGGGAGAAGAAGAGGATTCACACCTTTCCCAAGGGTATTAGCACGTAAGAGGAATGTAATGGATTCGACTGGGATTCGAACTCGGCTCTCCGATTTTTCAATCCAAGCCGCTATCCATTACTCCTCCTCATATATAAAATGAAAATTACAAAGGTCACATTAAAAATATTCACACCATATATATATATATATATATATATATATATATATATATATATATATATATATATATATATATATATATATATATATATACACACACACACACATACATGGTGTAATTGGTAAATTGTGACCATTTTAATTTTTAATGTATTGGAGTTATTTGTTTTTGATTTTTCAATATGTACAGTATAGTAGGGTCAGTTAAATACCGTCTAATAAGAAAAAAGAGCACCATGATGCAATTCATTCCTACAGAAATTTGGAAATGGCATGCGGTACTGCTTGGCATTCGCACCGGAATCCAATATGAAACATTTCATTGTCAATCTGAGAACTGTACAGAAGATTCAGAAAGAGTTGGATGAATTTAATGGTGATGGCGAAGGTGTTTGAAGTGATCACTAATGATGGAGACGCTATACCTCCTTTCATCTTCCCACGGGGTCTCGGACTCAACACGGAGGACTACATCAAGTGCTTTGAGGATGTAGTGCTGCCCTAGGTCAGGATGGCTGGGGAAAGACCCTATGTCTTGCAACAGGGCTCTGCACCATGCCACACAAACAGGAGAACCCTGTCATGGCCGTCAGACAATTTAAGAAACTACATCACACCTTACATCTGGGCAACCAACTCTCCAGACTGCAACCCCTTGATTATTACGTGTGGGGCGCTGTTGAGCAAGAGACCAACAAAACTCCTTGTATCATCAAAAGACGAACTGAAGACAAAGATTATGGCAATACACCAACTTAAAGAAGGAGACTGTCCAGAAGAGTTGGAGGAGATTGCGAAGTCGACTGGAGGCCGGGGTGAAGCCAATGGTGATTTTATTGAATAAATTTACTGTTTTGGTAGACATATCTGCTAAGAGGCACGGTGGAGTAATGGATAGCAGCTCGGATTGAGGAATAGGAGAGCCGAGTTCGGATTCCTGTCGAATCCATTACATTCACTTACGTGCTAATACCCTTGGGAAAAGTATGAATCCTCTTCTCTCCCCAGACCGGGTTCTATAGCCTTGGATAGCAACTGGTCTATCGCAGAAAGAAATGGCAACCTACTGCGAGGAACAATCTGCCTCGTTAGTCATGTATTGAAAGCTACATGATCGCCTAAACATGTATCACGCATGGTACATAACTGACTGATCTGTTAAAATGAGATGCCAGTATTAATTTTATTTTTCGTAAATTAGACGACAATTTATCCCTTGCAACTTGTGTATATACAGATGTGGACTGAATTATACACGTCCACTGAATATTTACATATTTTCTAAGGAAATGCGAATATTTCAAGTCCTTACTGAATTTACCATAAATAGTTGATTCTGTATTTAGTTTTGAATAA